GGGCGGGCGGGCGGAGAATCTGCAAAGACCGGAAGCATGTTCAGCTGATCGCTTCAAGACAACCCCGCGCTTGGACTGCCTTCCGGTGCCTTGCTTAACAAGGTTTGAAATTCCGTGCAGCGCCAAATCGAAATCACGAAAAATAAAATGCAAAAAAAAATATAAAACCCTCTGCTGTCGAAGCTGCTCGGAATGCGATGTCAAGTGGTCAAAAGAGAAAGTAGGGCTTCTCAGTCAGCTGTACATCTGGAATGACGAGACGCGCCTTCGGCTGGCTCGAAAGGGCGTGCCTTGCCGGAGCGATCCAATCTTCGCGGCAGCATGTCCTCGACCCCTATCCTCTCTGGCCTCCTCCTGTGGGCTGCATCGATTTGCGCGGCAGCGTGTGCAGACCCTTTGGACGCCGGCGAACCCCACCTGGCGCGGCGGACAATGTGCATGCGATCCCGCGACATTTGTCCAGGGCCAGACTGGTGGCACGCCGGTGGAAGCGCGTCTTGGCTCCGTGCATGCTGGACTCGGACGTTGTCGCCGCAGCTTTTGCATGCAGCAGGTGGCGGCATGCCTGGCGCCCGTGTCGTTGCATCCGAGTCGGGTGCCTTTTGCACGCCATGCCAGCTCAGGACGCGACGACGTCTCGCTGTGCTAGATTGCAAGACAGAGTACGTATGCTTCTCGCGCTTAAAGTCTGACGCGGTCAGTGGTGCAGCGCGAGGGGGGCCCAGGTTTTTTTGAAACACCGCATCCAACGACGAGCATGCGCACTCGAGAAAAAAAATTGGACGAGCGCCTATCGGAACTCAGGCCCGCGCATCGCAATCGCTGCTGCCGAGCTTCGCGTCTGCATGCTAGCCGCGCTCTGATCGCCCCGCCCTCTCGCTCGGGCGCTCGGCCGCTAGTTGTACGTCGTGCGTCCTGCGGCCTGCGTCCTGCGTCTGGAGCTCCAAGGGTTTAGTCTGTCAGAGTGTCCCACGTTGTGTGCCTCAGCCGTGTCGCCTGTCGCGCGTGCGCACCTAGCCGCCTGCCGAACGGTGGGAATCGGCTGTGGTTCGCTGCGCTTGGCACGGCCGGTGCGCGCGACATGGGTGGTGGTGCAAGCAAGAGTCGCGCCAACCCCACTCCACCCTTGCTTTCGA